CTGCGGCAGAGGGCGCGGGGAGGGAAGCGAAAGGAGGTAGATTGTGTGTATGTAAACACGCGTGTCATGCATACATACATATATTGATTTGTGTATCAATATATACAAATATATATATATATATATATATACATAGTTGTATACACACATTCATACATACATGTTTTATCTATAACATCTATATATACACGCACGCCGCCGTGCCTGCAGCACGTGATGGAGTGGCACGAGGCTCATGCAGCCCGGATAAATTCAGAGTCGCACGGGTTATAATGTTGAAGGCCTGGGGGGATTTACAGGGATGCTCCAGGAGTCCCAAGGGTTTCCGGGGATTCCCCAGCATTACCCAGGCGTGTCGCGCGCGTCCTCTGGTAGCACAGCCAGCTAAGCATGGGTCCAAAAAGCGCGCCGAAGATGCCTTCAGGACGGCCCAAGAGGCCCTCAAGATCGTCCCAAAACGGCCTCAGAGGCCCACAAGAGGGCCCCAAGACCCCAAGACGGCCCAACAGGGCCCCAAGACGGTCCAAGGGGCGCCCAGGACGGGCCAAGAGGGACCAAAGACGGCCCCAACAGGGGAACCCAGATGGGGAACCCGAACGGACACTTCGAGCCCTCGGCCCCGAGGGTGCCCCAGGAAGCCCCAAGAGTCCCCCGAGAGGCCCCCAAGAGGCCCCCAAGAGGCTCCCAAGAGGCCCAAAGACTGCTCCCAAGAAGCCCCCGAGAGCGCCCCGACGAAGCATCCCTGAGAACTCTGACCCACAGCCCAGGAACGGTGGCGGGATGGGCCGAAGGCCACCAGACCTGGGCGGGCACGGCACCGGAGAGAGCGCCTCAGGAACTTGCTCGAGATGGCTTATGGCACCCTTCACTCTTGAAAGCCTTGGTGCGAGGAGCTTGTTACGTCGTCGCTCTCCGTTGGGACCCTTAGTGTTCAGAGACGTTTACGTTGCCGCTCGCTCTTGGGAGCCTTGGTGTGACCAGCTTTTTTCGTCACCGCGCTCTGGGGAGCCCTAGTGTCAAGAGCTTGTTACGTCACCGCTCGCTGATGTGAGCCATGGTGTTCTTGAGCGTCTCTTGGGCCTCGTCGGGGTCTTCTTGGGGCCCTTTTGGAGCCCTTTGGGAGCCCTTTTGCGGCAATTTGGACCGTCTTGGAGCCCTTTTGGGCCGTCTGGGGGCGTCTTGGAGGTCTTGGACTGTCTTGGGGCTCTCTTGGGGGCTTCCGGGGGACCTCTTGGAGCCTCTGGGGCCGCTCTTGGGCCCTCTTGGGCCGTCCTGGGGCCATCTTGGGCCCCTCTTGGGCCGTCTTGGGCCCGTCTTGGCCCTTCTCGGGGCGCTCCTGGGGCCCTCTTGTGCCGTCTAGGTACGATTTGGGAAGCCTCTTGGGCTGTCTTGAACTCTGTGAAAGCCGAAAGAACTGATGTGCTAAAAATGTAGGCTTCCGGTCGGAATTTGACGACTTTCGCCTGTGGGGTCCTCTTGGGGGCCTCTTGGGGTCTTCTTGAACCGTCTTGGAGCCATCTTACGGTGTCCTGGGGGGCCTCGTAGACTGTCTTGGAGCCAATTCTCGGGAGCGGCCAAGAGGGGGGCGTCCAAGAGGGGGGGGGCGCAAATCATGGCCGGCGGCATGTGCGCGGCCCAGCGGGGGGGCCAGGGACGTAATCAAGTAAGAAGAGGTGCCCTAAAATCTGGGGAAATATCATGGCCCCCGCCATGAGATCCCCCCCCCCCTAGTCATCACCCTCCTCTTGTCCGCCCCCGAAAGTCAGGCTGTCTTGGGGCGCTCTCGGGGCGTCCTGGGGCGTCGGATCGGGCGAGTCTTGGCCCGTCGTGGGCGCCTCTCGGGCCGTCCTGGGCGCCTCGGGGGCCCCAAAAGGCTACCAGAGCCCGTGTTGGCGCGCCTCGCCCCTTCCCTGGAGCACCTCCCGCAAGGGCTTCGCCCCACCAACTAACGCACATCACTCGTAGGGCGCCTCTCGGGCCGTCTTTTTTTTTCTAGAGGCCTCAACCCATGCTCATGTGTGAGCCCATTTGACGAGTCTTTGGAACGTAAGCTACACACTATGATCAACCCAAAAACAGTCTTTGTCCATGCGACGTCAGATGCGAGAATGCACTTCCCGCAACCTGGCGACCCTGGACGGCACCGAGCGGGTATTGATGAGGAGGATGGGAAACATTGTAAATGGGGGAAGATGTGAGAGCATGATGGGAGGAAGGCATCAAGCTGAGAGAGGAGGGTCCATGCCACTGAGCGTTAAAGTGTGAGGGAATGCCGTGTTCCCCTAATCGTCTATACAATCGGAGTCGTGCAGTCTCGGGCGGACTCCAAAGCATGAAGCGGCCATGGTCCGCACCGCGAACCGTAGTCTAACTACCCTCTAGCCAAGCAGTGGGCATGCGTGGTCGCAACTGAGGAGATGAATCCGCCGCTCGATTCGACACCCGACCAAGACGTAAAATACAAAGACATGCAGAAGACATGCACGGCGCAGGAGTGACTTCCCGAGGTGGGGACGAGTCCGCCGCTCGACTCGACCGACACCCGACCAAGAGGCGAAATACAAATACATGCAGCCGGTGCGGAATACATGCCTGGCGCAGAGGGGCATCGAGGCCGGGCATGGTGTAGAAGGCATGCACGGCGCAGGAGTGTCTGATGCGACAGGAAGGGACGCCTCCGCCGCTAGACTCGACACCCGACCAAGGGGCGAAGTACAAAGACATACAGCTAGTGCGAAGACATGCATGGCGCAGAGGGGCATCGAGGCCGCAGCAAGGTGTAGAAGGCATGCACGGCGCAGAAGTGTCTGATGCGAGAGGAGGGGACGCCTCCGCCGCTCGACTCGGCACCCGACCAAGAGAGGCGAAATAGAAAGACGTGCAGCCGGGTGCGGAAGAGATGCACGGCCCAGCAATCCGACCTGGCACAGGCTGCAGCAACTGTAATTAGGCAAGCGATTCCAGGTCGGGTCCGAAGGCCTGGGCAATCGATGCCGCACATCATCTCCAGGGCCCCATCAAGGCAGGCTCGAGGGCGCCACGCTCCCGAGATGACCTGGCTTGGAGGTCACCTCCGAAATCCTCGTCGACCGTGGTTGAATTTCCAGGAATGAAAACCTAGGTTCTTTAGCTTCAGATCCTGGAACAAATAAACCCCGGTTTATATTTATTTGGGATCCATCCTGCTGGCTTGGGTAAGACAGTCAGCAACGGACATGGGTTTCGTACAGATCTGTCAAACAATCTTTCCCGGAGCGCCGTGCAAGCTCCAGGCTCGAGCAACTTCCCATCCGAGGGTCTCCGTGGTGCGCCGCTGGATCTGCGCCCGCGTTCAGCAATGCTGTGGCCACGCCCAGCTCGAACTGCGCGTTGGACTGGCGCAAGCTCTCGATCCACTCGGCGGCGCCCGGCTGAGTGTTCGACATCCGCCTCAAATCAATGAGGTGATCCTCCGTCCCCGTGCTGAGCAGCTGGAGAGGAGACTGCCCCCCGACGCTCTCTACGCCGACCTCCGCGCCGTTCTCGATCAGCAGCCGGACCACCTCCACGCTACACCTGAGGCGGATCGCGGCGCAGAGCGGCCACTCGAAGCGGCTGTCCCAGAACGGCTCCTTGGCTGCCTCGGGGTCTGCCTCGATGGCGAGGCGCACTTGCTTCTTGCAGTTTCGCTCCAGGGCCAAAAGCAAGGGCTCCGCACGGGGCTCTCCGAATTGCGGAGACGGCGGCGCTGCAGGCAACCCAGAGCGCACACGCGGCGTACTGGGTGGAGTCGTCCAGACTTTCTGCGACGCACTTTCCCCGGGCGCGCAGGTGGACGGACCCTGAACGAAGAGCGCCGCCTCCGACACGCGCTTGGGGCTTTCCGAGGACGCGTCGTCGGAGTCGCAGGCCGCTTTGACGGGGCTCACCAGCGAAGTTGGCAACTGCGGGACGTCGGGCTGGTTAGTCGAGTAGTCCATTCTGAAAGCCGCCCACAAGTGGCCGAAGTGCACCGTTCCTACAAAAAGTTCCTGAACAGGTCAGGTTTAGTGCGGTGAAAGCAGGACCACTAGGCAACCAAGCCTTGAGCTAAAATGGCTACGGAGGCGCCTCTCGGGCCGTCTTGGGCGCCTCGGGGACCCCAAAAGGCTACCAAAGCCCGGGTTGGCGCGCCACCAACTAACGTACATCACTCGTACCTCGCTCGTTCCGTCATCCGCCGCCCCCTGTTGATTTATCACAGGGGGCCTGGTGTGCGACTCTGTACGGTGTTTGGTGTTAGCCTGGAGCCTCGGCCCAGCGCGCCAGCCAACCGCAAAATGTACATGCCAACGCCTTTCGCGCCCGAGATAATCCAAAATGGATTCCAAGATGCCTCCTTGACGGCCGAGATGTTCCAAAATGGCCTCCAAAAGCTCCCAGAAGGCCCCCAGAGTCATCCTCCGCCTCCTCCTGAGCCGCCTCCTCCTCCTCATCCTCCTCCTCATCCTCCTCATCCTCCTCATCCTCCTCCTCCTCCTCATCATCATCATCTCATCATCATCATCATCATCATCATCATCATCATCATCATCAGCATCATCAGCATCATCATCAGCATCATTATCATAATCATCAGCATCAGCATCATCATCAGCATCATCATCATCATCTGTCATCATCCTCATCATCAACATCAGCAGCAGCATCATGATTGTCATCAGCATATCAGCATCATCATCAGCATCATCAGCAGCATCGTCACTATCATCATCATCAACCAAAATAGCAGAATCGTCAGCATCAGCATCATCATCACCCTCATCAGCAGCAGCAGCATCATCATCATCAGCATCAGCATCAGCATCAGCATCACGTCAGCATCATCAACATCATCATACTCAGCATCAGCATCATCATCAGCATCAGCTGCCTCATCCTCTCTAGTTGTCCTCCCTCTCATCCGCTTCTTCTTCCTCCCCCGCGTGTTCCCCGAAGGGTTTCCACAACGGCAGGGGAGACACATGGTCGGATAGCTTGGC